GGGGTCCTTTAGCTAAATAAGAAGGTAGGGTTCTTCAGCCAGTGGCAGAAGGTGCTTCTCTGCCAGCTCTCAGGATGCTCTGCTGACACGGGATACGATCAGTTCTCAGCAGCCCTTCTGGCACAGTCCCATGGTTTTACCTCTGCCCTATCATTTCTCCTGCTGTGGCTTCCTTCTGAATTTTAAGCTGAGGTCCAAACAGCCTGAGTCAAAATAACCCAACCTGGAAGTGGCTAAAACATGAATCACCATGGCCAGGTCATGAACTAGGAGGAATGAAAGGGGTTTATTGTGAGCTGGATGAAAAATATATAAATAAAGGGGCCCTGTACTGCTCCATATATCACATCACTGTGAGATCCAAGACCATCCACACTGACCTTGAGCCACGTGTTCAGCTCTCATTAATTCAGTGGGAGCTCTGCACACAGACCAAAGGCAGTCTCAGCTTCTTCTGCCCTCCACTAATTAGAGGTTTCTGATATTTCTTTGGCTTGTCAAAAAAAGACCCTAAACAGCACATAAACAATGGAAGAAGCCACACGATGAAGATACTGTTGACTCACCCTCGAGGTTCAGTTTTCCTCTCCTTTGGAGAGAATTATTCAGGAGCAAAAGACAAATCTAAGGTCACCCATTTGTTATTCCCGGTCAGAAGATCAATAAACATAGCCAGCACTTGAAGCAGATCTAGCTGGCTCTTGTGAGGGCCCCAAGTCTACTGTCCCACACGTGCACATCTCTATTAGACTTGTGAACTTGTCACCCCTGTTACAGTGAGTTGATTGCCTTCATGCTTTTGGAAGAGGATATGGCAACACAGATCTGTATCTGTAGTGAGATCAGCATGTATTACACACCATGTCTATTACAGATAAGTCATCATATCCGAAGGATTCATCACATGTTTACGCAACTCCTATTGACAAAAACGTGACTCCACACACACAGAGGGCTGGCTTGGCACATACTGAACTTCAGCTGAGCTTACTCCAGATCCCTCTAAAAACATCTTCCAAACTCCAGCATTTCAGCTGCTACATTTCCAGCCACGCTTATTCATGAAAGTAGCATTTGCAGAGGTTACAGATACACCAACAGAGCTGCCCTGAGCACAACTTTCACTTCTGAAAACAGCTACTGGAATTTTTTTCATGTGACGTTTCTATTCCTTAGATACCAAGCTTAAATTTCTAGAAACAGGTCATTTGGAAACCCATACATGTCAGCTGGCAAGGTGTGTTGGGATTGGGTTTTGTGGTCTCGCCATGAAAACTGCAGCAAGCAGGCAGGCAGCACTGTTACTCATTTCCAGAGGCTCAAGTGGAAAAATAATTCAGCTATATTTCAGTAGGTAAAATACTCCAGTTTTTCCAAGGAGTCTGATACTCTAATCTTCCCTGTCACCATACTGTAATATAAGTAGTTTTTATTCCAATTTTTTAAAAAGGTAAGCAAATACTACAAGGGTGGCTTCGCTGCTGGTGCTGAAAGGCCACTCCTGAAGCACAGCCTCCCCTGCCATAGCCCTGACAGTACATCCCACCCCGCTCCATGGCTCTCTGCCCGGCGGTTCTGTTTCCACACTGTCCAGACAACCCATGGCCCCTCTGCTACTATTCACGACCACGATGATGGGACATGGAACCTATAAATGTAAAAAAAAAAATAACCATAATCATCTCTTTATTTCTCCCTGGACATCAAGCTGGCAGGAAATTCCTGTCTTATCTGAAAGTCTTGCCCTAGACATGAAAATCTCTGCTGCCTGCCTTGCACTACTGACCTGCAAGCAGGGGTGGGAAAGTGGTGTGTTTTGGGGGGCCAAAAAGGGCTGAAAAGCTCCTCTACCACCAGAAGGTGTGGCATGCACACTCTGGGATATCAAAGAGTTTGGATCCACAAGAGAGAAGGTTGTGTTTTCCTCTCAGGAGATCCCTCTACGAAAGAGCATCCACTCTTGCTAGGAACAGTGTCTTGAAAGGGTGAATAACCTGGCACAGCCAGTAAAGCCCTGGAAGAACAAATGAGGACACAGAAACTGTATAACTACAAGGAAAACCACTTGAGCTCACCCAATCATAACAATTCTTCCTTAAGTTCCTTCCTTTGGCTACCAAAGCCAAAGCTTCCATACATACATCTGTGATGCTGATCCCAATCAGCATCCTAGTGCTTTACCCAGCTCTGTTCCTGTCACCCATCCTGGCCAGGAGGAGACAAACATCTACCTGTCACCTTTATTTTTTTAAGACTGAGTTTCCTTGGGGCAGGGCACTGTCACTCCCCTGTGTGTACAGCACCTGGCACAACAGGGCTGTGACTCAGCCACCTTCCTGATGGGAGTAACACCAAAATAGCTCATTACAGCCCTGCGTAACACCGTGGTCAAATGACCTGGGCATCCTGCAGGAAGCAGGTGAGCACCACGTCTGACTGCGACCGAGTTTGGCAGTCTCCATCACCAAACTTTTTTGAGCTGGTCTCCCCTGTTATTGCTAATTGCTAGGTCAGAGGCTGTAACGAGGAGTGACCAGTCATTGCCAAGGTCTCTGCCAGGCCGCCAGAATGGGGTGCGCTGAGCAATCACTCCTGCACTGGCAGATGAAAGGGCACAGCATTCTCTTGGTGCAATAACCTGAGCTCCACATGCAAATCTCTTCCCAGCAAGGCAATGTATATACATTAGGATACAACCCTCCCGCTTCTGCAGCTGTTCCTTAGTTTAGACAGGGCCAGTAACGCTCAGAGATTGTTTTCCAATCCCAGCAGCATTTTTCTTTGTTTGGGAGCAACACGTAAAAGCTGCCTGGTTTATGACGGTCACGTTCTAAAGAGCACGTTCAATAGCTGAACCTTCGGTTAAATGGGACTTTTCAATCTAAAATGTCCTGATTGCAAATTAAAATATTGAAAGGTTTTGCGGAATTGCCTAATAAAAACGACGATTTTCAGTATTATGACCACAATGATTACCAGTGAAAGCTTCGGTGAAAACAAGTGCTCAGGAATGAAGTTGTTTGGATGCAAAAACCTCTTTTCAAAATCTGGCAATAAAAAATGCTGTATCCTGCTGTCCTGCTCATTTTCCAGTTCCAAACAAGGAACTGCATAATATGATGCATTTTTAAATGGAACATATAAAAGATCAGATACTACCCATCTCAACAGCAAGAAAAATTCTATCCTCCCATCCTCTGAAAACCCCCCCATGATTTCGACAGTTCCTCTTCACAACAAGAGAAAAACAACAAACCCAAACCAGCGGTCTCACACTCGATTTCCAAACCAGGGGTGCTGCTGTTTTCACATGCAAACCCAATTCTGGCTGGTGTCTCCTGTCATTTCCCTGCTCGCAGCCGCTGGCCGCGGTGCAGCTCAGCTCCTCAGACACTTGGTTTTGCAGATTCATTACGAAACAACAATGAGCACACGAGGAAAAAAAAATCCTACCCCGATAATAATTCAACTTTCAAAAACAGAAAAAAGCAGCCTGGATTTGTTCCGGGCAAGCAAAGAACAAGAGCTTTCGGCTGCAGCTTTAGCGGCAGAGCAGCTTTTCCGCAGTGGGATCCCAGCAGTGCACGCAGCTGCTCCCGCAGAACAAGGGCACCCTATATCGTCACCTGCATGGGACCTATAGCTGCCATAGGGGATGAGCGGCGAGGGGAGGGTGATGGAGCGATGGAGACGCGCGGTGAGGGACACGCTGATCCCTTTGTAAAGTTAAACGGAAAAGAAAACGCAGCACACGCTCCGCGGAGAGGAGGAAAAAAAGGGGGAAAAAACCCCCAACAAACCTAAAAACATAAAACTGGGGAGGAGAGAGGAAAAATCAAAGAGTAAAAAAAAAAATAAGTAGAAAATGTGAAAAAAAAAGTGTAGAAAATTTGAAAAAAAAAATCAAAATAAAGCCTAAAACAAAGAATAACAGAGAATCCCGAGGAAAACAAGGGGCAGGCCGGCGGTAGTGGAGCGGAGCCCGAGGTTCCCGGTGGGTTCCGCATGTGCCACCCCCGGGCCCGCCGGTCCCCGAAGCCCTCGGGCCGAGCCTCCCCCCCCCCAACCCCGCACCGGCCGCGCGCCCCCCCGCACGGCCCCGCTCCGCTCGGCAACGCGTGACGTCACACGGGGGACCCCGGCGCCGCTCATTGGCCGCGCGGGCCCCTCGGCCCCGCCCCCGGTGCGGCGGCAGCCAATGAGCGCGGCGCGCTGGCTCCATGTGCGAGCCATGTGTCCGCCCGCGGGGGCGGGGCGCGCGCCGCGGGTGTGCGGGCAGTGCGGGCTGAGCGCTCCGCCGGGCTCCGCGCCCCGCTCTGCTCCGCCGCGGGACACGGCCGCCCCTTTGTTCGTAATGCCCTTGCTGCCCGCGGTGCCGCCGTCCCCAGCAGCCCGCGGCCCCACTCGGGGAGCGCGCTCCGCAGGGGAAAAGCCGCAGGCTACGCGCAGCACCCCTCCGCGCTCGCGGAGCGGGAGGCTAGCGGCGCCGCTGGCCACCGCCCCGCACCGGGCGCTCGTCCTGCCCTGCACTGCTATGCCCTGCCCTCCCCTCCCCGCCGGCTACCTGGCGAGCGCTGCCACTTGCCTACGTGACTCTGCCCATGCCCCGGCGGGGGGAGCGGGGACGTGTCATTGCCTCCTCCCCCGCCGCTCCGGCTCCGCCACCGGCCCCGTGTCCGCGCGGGGACCGTCGCCCCCCCGGCCCCTCTCGGTGCCCCCGCCGAACCCGCTCTCCCCGAGAAGCGGCGATGCGCCCCCCCCTCTCCCCGCGCCATCCCGCTCCGCTCTCCATCCCAAACTTTCCCCCCGGGGCCCGTGGCCTCAGCGACGGGGGGGGTCGCACGCACGTCCCTTCTGCAGGGGGTGCAGGCCGACGCTTTGTCACTGCGCCCCTGGCCCCTGCAGCCAGCCCAAAGTTTGGGTTATTATTTTTCCTCCCCCTTTGACTGACTCCCCCCCCCACTCTAGCGCCGCGGTCACGGCCGCCAGCCCGCACTTACTTTTATTCTCCTTCTCGATCCGCTCCAGGTAGCTGGCGGCCTCCAGCAGCACCTGAACGTTGTAGAGGAAGGTGTCCATGCCCGCCGCGGGGCTCGTGTTGCAGATGTCCCCGAGGGGGCACCGGGCCCCGCCGGCCGCCCCCTCGCCCCGCGGCTCCCTCCGCGGCCGGCCGCGCTTGCCCATCGCCCCGCCGCCTCCCCGTCTGTCTGTCCGTCCGTCCGTCCGTCCACCCGCCCGTGTGCCGGCGAGCCCGGCGGCCGCCGCGGTCCCAGCGCTGCCGCCGCTGTGTCGCCCCACGAGCCGCCGCCGTCCCGCCCCCCCCGCGCCCCGGCGGGGCGGCCCGGCCCGGCCGCGCCTGCGGAGTGCGAGCGCCGCCGGCTGCGCCGCGCCCGGCGCGGGGGGGCGGCCGCGGGGCCGGGCCGGGCTGGGACCGGAGCGGGGGGGAGCGGAGGGTCGCCCCGCAGCAGCCCCGGGATGTCCTGCAGCCCCGCAGCCCCGAGCGACCCCCTGGAAAGGGGCGCCGGCGAAGGTGGCCCCGCGCCCCCGGGTATCACTAGTGGTGTCGGTGTAGCGGGGGACGTGGGGGGGTCCGGCTGCGCCCGCACCCGGGACACAGAGGCACAGCCAGGCCTGTTGTCACCCCGTCTCACCTCCTGCCACTGCCCGAGGGTCTGTCCCTGCTGGGGAACCCAGGGTGACAGCCCAGCCCTTGGGGGCGATGGGGCCAGCACTGTAGGCACAGCCCCCAACTCCTCGGCAGGAAGCACAAGTAGTTTAATTCCGAACTACTCCTCCTCTATTGAGCAGCGCTCCCCAGAAAGCCCTGTCTGGGTTCAGACTCCAAAAGCAATTAACAATTTTCTTTTTTTTTTTTTTCTAGAGCAGTCAAAGGCAGAGAGCAGGCAAGGGATGCACTAACCTACCCCCCTTGCCCCCATGTCCATCCTTGAAGACCTGGGGTCAGAGCTGAGCACTGTGTTTGGGGCATATCCTTGTCTCCCACTTGTTTTGCAGTCAGGCAGGTGAGAAAGAGCGTGTGCACCCTGGGAGCACAGGACCTCACCCAGACCAAGGAGGAGGGCAAGGATTTGTACTTCCACAAGTTGTTTGCTATCTCATGAATTCTGAGGGAGTAGGAGTGAACCACACTGTGACCGGACCGGCAACAAGTGACCTCCAACACCCTCCTGGCTCCCCTTCCATCACCTGAGCCACGGAACTATGTTGGCAGCAGGAAATCCTGCTCCTGCCTGTCCGGTTGGGTTGGTCTGGATCCATTGAGGAGCCCTATGGGAGCGGCCGGGGTGAAGCATTGCCCCTGAGATGTACTGGGGCGTGGGGACCTGCTCGAGCCTGGCTGTCATGGGGTTCCATGGGCCTCACTGGGCTCACCAGCCTCCCAGGGATCAGCACTGGAGGGAAGGAGAGAAGAGAGGTTGTGGTGGCGTTTAAAAATGCCGTATTACTAAGTGTTAATTGGTACCTCCCGGGCAGATGGAGCTC